GGAATGAAAGATGCCGTGTAAATGTAAAACAGTATTGTATACTGATCCTGTAGTCTTTCTGTATTTAGAATTCACATGGAGTTTGATGGGAGAGATGTGTGTGGAATGTCTGTATTATTGCCTTATCAGAATAATGTTTGCCCTTCTATAATGGCTTCCATCCAAGGATCTCAAAGCACTTTACAAACATAAATTAAAGTTAGCCTTCTCACTCCTGGGGGCAGGACCTTATTTGCAGGTGAGGAAAACGAGTTATAGAAAAGTTAAGTGACTTGTCTAAGGTCACTCAGGAAGTCTGTAGAACAGCTGGGAACAGGACTGAGGGGCCAAATTCAGTCTGGGTGAATTCAGTGGAGTTTCAGCAGAGTATGCCAGGGCAGAAATCAGTCCTAGTCACCTGACTCCCAGACCTGTGCCTTGGTCACATAACCATCCTTCTTCCTTTGGGTGAAGGCCTTAGGAGTCAATAATACTATCATATCTTCCAGGAGAACCTTAGATGGATGACACATGCCTTGGTGCTCTACTGGAAATTCCATTGGGCATTACTAGAATCCTTTGGTTTCCATGGCTCTCTGTTTCATTCTACTAGCCTATTTTTGTTTCAGTTGTATGAAGAATTAGCCCCAGGATTCAGTCAATCAGAAGCCCAATCATTGTGCTCCAAAATCCTGTGTGCCAGTTGGAACCAATAGGAACCAGTTGAAAATGTCCAACTGGAATTTCCACTAAGGATAAGTAAACTGCTGTTAAATCCATGTTCAATATCTTTTTCCCCAAGCAAAATCTAATGGCTAGTAAGTACAAGGCTGGTTTAATAACATCTGTTTCCTCTTGAATCACTCCAAGTATTGATATTGCCATATTCTCAAGGAACATTTTTAATCATGTTTTGACAGCGCAGTGTTTTACCACAACAATGATAGTTAAATGTTTATGTTACTTTGTAGTATTATTCCTTATAATGCTGAGATAAAACATTGCACATGTACTGAGAAATAAAGACATTGCTAGGATTTTATAAGTTGATGTATTGGTGGGTATTCTCATATTCTCCGAGGGAAAATGGCATGCTATGGCGTGCTATCAAGTGTGGTTTGTTGTTAATAGCTACTCTGATTAAATCACACACAAAATACATACAAATGTTTTATTCTCCTTTTCCTCCTAAGATTTTAGGAAAAAGGGGGGTAAATGCAATCTAAGTCCCCCTTAGCCTTCTTAGGAAAAATAAATTACTGGGAGGAATGCCATGAGAATGTGCGTGCGTGTGTGTGTGTAAATAACATATGAAATGTCTGCCCACATCCCATAATATAATAATTTAGATTAGTTAATAAGATATCACTTTTCTTCTGTAGCTCTCAAACCTCTGTTCAGAGGTGGGGAAGTACCGTTATCCACATTTTACAGATTGGGAAACTGAGGCACAGAGAGGCTAATTATTTTAAAGTGTTTCTTAGTCTGGATGCTTCAGTTTTTGTGTGTCCAATATTAGACTCCTAGAATCTGATTGTCAGGACTACTAAGCACTCACCACTCCCATTGACTTCAGTCAATTCTGTGACTTGTCCAAAGTCACAAAGCGAGTCAGCAGCAGAAGAGGGAATATCCCTTGTACCATGCTGATAGCACCCAGACGTTGGATTGCTGAACTGGGCTGTAGAGGAGGCCACCCCTTCAAATCCTCTGGGGAAATTTCAGAGTAGCAGCCGTGTTAGTCTGTATCCGCAAAAAGAACAGGAGTACTTGTGGCACCTTAGAGACTAACAAATTTATTAGAGCATAAACTTTCATGGGCTACAGCCCACTTCTTCAGATGCATATAGAATGGAACATATATTGAGGAGATATATATATACACTCATACAGAGAGCATGAACAGGTGGGAGTTGTCTTACCAACTTTGAGAGGCCAATTAAGAGAAAAAAAACTTTTGAAGTGATAATCAAGGTAGCCCAGTACAGACAGTTTGATAAGAAGTGTGCGAATACTTACAAGGGGAGATAGATTCAATCTTTGTAATGGCTCAGCCATTCCCAGTCCTTATTCAATCCTAAATTGATTGTATCTAGTTTGCATATCAATTCCAGCTCAGCAGTCTCTCGTTGGAGTCTGTTTTTGAAGTTTTTCTGTTGTAAAAGAGCCACCCGCAGGTCTGTCATTGAATGACCAGACAGGTTAAAGTGTTCTCCCACTGGTTTTTGAGTATTATGATTCCTGATGTCAGATTTGTGTCCATTAATTCTTTTGCGTAGAGACTGTCCGGTTTGGTCAATGTACATGGCAGAGGGGCATTGCTGGCACATGATGGCATATATCACGTTGGTAGATGTGCAGGTGAACGAGCCCCTGATGGTATGGCTGATGTGATTAGGTCCTATGATGATATCACTTGAATAGATATGTGGACAGAGTTGGCATCGGGCTTTGTTACAAGGATAGGTTCCTGGGTCAGTGTTTTTGTTCAGTGATGTGTGGTTGCTGGTGTGTATTTTCTTTAGGTTGGGGGGTTGTCTGTAAGCGAGGACAGGTCTGTCTCCCAAGATCTGTGAGAGTGAGGGATCATCTTTCAGGATAGGTTGTAGATCTCTGATGATGCACTGGAGAGGTTTTAGTTGGGGGCTGAAGGTGACAGCTAGTGGTGTTACGTTATCTTCTTTGTTGGGCCTGTCTTGTAGGAGGTGACTTCTGGGTACTCGTCTGGCTCTGTCAATTTTTTCACTTCAGCAGGTGGGTATTGTAGTTTTAAGAATGCTTGATAGAGATCTTGTAGGTGCTTGTCTCTGTCTGAGGGATTGGAGCAAATGCGGTTATATCTTAGAGCTTGGCTGTAGACAATGGATCGTGTGGTGTGTCCTGGATGGAAGCTGGAGGCATGTAGGTAAGTGTAGCGGTCAGTAGGTTTCCGGTATAGGGTGGTATTTATGTGACCATCGCTTATTAGCACAGTAGTGTCCAGGAAATGGACCGCTTGTGTGGATTGATCTAGGCTGAGGTTGATGGTGGGATGGAAATTATTGAAATCATGGTGGAATTCCTGAAGGGCTTCTTTTCCATGGGTCCAGATGATGAAGATGTCATCAATGTAGCGCAAGTAGAGTAGGGGCGTTAGGGGATGAGAGCTAAGGAAGCGTTGTTCTAAGTCAGCCATAAAAATGTTGGCATACTGTGGGGCCATGCGGGTACCCATAGCAGTGCCGCTGACTTGAAGGTATATATTGTCCCCAAATGTGAAATAGTTGTGGGTGAGGACAAAGTCACAAAGTTCAGCCACCAGGTTAGCTGTGACATTATCGGGGATACTGTTCCTGATAGCTTGTAGTACATCTTTGTGTGGAATATTGGTGTAGAGGGCTTCTACGTCCATAGTGGCCAGGATGGTGTTTTCTGGAAGATCACCGATGGATTGTAGTTTCCTCAGGAAGTCAGTGGTGTCTCGAAGATAGCTGGGAGTGCTGGTAGCCTAGGGTCTGAGGAGAGAGTCCACATAACCAGACGAGCCTGAAGTTAGGGTGCCAATGCCTGAGAAAAAAATGTCTGTACTGGGCTATCTTGATTATCACTTCAAAAGTTTTTTTTCTCTTACTTAATTGGCCTCTCAGAGTTGGTAAGACAACTCCCAGCTTTTCATGCTCTCTGTATGTGTGTATATATATCTCCTCAATATATGTTCCATGCTATATGCATCCAAAGAAGTGGGCTGTAGCCCACGAAAGCTTATGCTCTAATAAGTTTGTTAGTCTCTAAGGTGCCACAAGTCCTCCTGTTCTTTTTTCTGGGGAAATTGCAGTTAGTGCAGAGTGCGGCAGCTCAGCCAAGGCTGAGCACTCAGTTCTCCCCCATCCCCCACAAACTGGTAGGTGGAGAGGGGTGGGAGGGTGAGGAGTAGATGGAACCATGGCTTTTTAGGCATTGTTTTTCAGGCAGAGATCACATTACACCTGTGCTCTGCAATCTACCCCTGCTTTCATTTGATTTCCAGGTGAAGTTTATTGGCTTGGCTCGTGTCTCCTACAGACCTGTCACATCATGTGATTCCTCAGCAGTGGTGATGTAGGATGATTAACAGACCTGGGAGGGGACTGGTGGCAGGGTGTTCTTGGTGAGGGGTTCAGGTCTCCCGAGCAGGCTTCCCACCTTGATTTGCTAGAGACTGGATTTTGTGACCTTTGAGACATGATGCAAGATTCACTTGTTCTCGCAGGCTTTGCCGGGATGGGTCTGGGGTTGAGGTGGAGGCCTTGATGAAGGTTACACCGGTGTTATGGAAAGGTTGGTAGGAGGTCTGTGTTATGGGAAGTATATTTCAGGTTTGTATGGAATGCAACTAGGATTTGACAGGCACATGTGAAGTCTAAGTTAAACGGATATTGGCTGAGTGGGCAAGTGGGAAGATAAGTCAGAGGGTGACATCCTGGCTCCTCTGAAGTCAAAGGCAAAACTCCTATTGACTTCAGTGGAGCCCAGATTTCACCCAGAGACCCTATTAAAAGTGCATAGATCCATTTCTTACATCTATTCCCTTCTTAACATTATCGCTCAATCCTGTAGTTCACTGGCCATCTATTGCCATATTCGACAAGTGACTGCTGCTTGATTCAGTAGCTCTGTATTCCAGTCTTTAAGGCATCTTTCCATGGGTTCTCTGTGCTGTAGTGGTGAGCATTTTTCACTAGTGCATTTGGGTGCCAGACTTGAATGGGCATTAGGCAAATTGCTGTACAGAGCAGAGTGACAAAAATGCGATCACATCCTTACCTCCTACTAGCGGAGAAACTCGGGAGAGAAATTTTGCCATCCTTAAAGTTTTGTAAAGTAGGGACTCAGTGCTGTTTTACATTCTTTCCTTCTCCCCCCATACTTCTCTGTCATTAGGGTAAGTATTTGCTAGTGTGACTGGGTTAATGTGATGCGTGGATATTCAGAGATAACAGTGATTTGGTACGGTGATGAGTTTCCTGAACAGTAAGTGTAACATTCAATTTCTTTTGTTACAGATGGAAGAGAAGCGACGAAAGTACTCAATCAGCAGTGATAACTCAGACACCACTGACAGTAAGACCTTTAATTCAAGGCTTTGAACAAGATAACTAAGCGATTCACCTCCAGCAGGGAAAGCATTTGAATAATTACTTTGCAAGGAGTTGGGAAAGCTGCATTTACTGGGTAGTCTCAGTACAATAAATTGTGCACTGGGATCCATTTTCAAAAATACATTATTGATGTACAACGAGTTGATATCAATTTAAATGTCTGGCTGTGGGCGACTCTTATCTGATAAAAGTGTCCTCCTCCGGTGAGCAGTTTGGGTGAGAGAGCAAGAGCTACAAAGCAGCATTGATTGCAGAACTTCAAATAAAACAAAGCCTTTATTAGACAGGACACTGCAGACTGTCTTCTCACCTTTATTACACTCAGTGTGCATTTAGCCTCAGATGGAATCATGTTGATGGAGAGTGAAGTTCCTATTGGGAAACTATGTATTGAGCACTCCCTGTGGTCGCTGTGAAGATGAAACCCCTTGATTTCTCATCATGAGAGGCGGATTAGATTGGGGGAAAGGCATTAAGGCCTCAATTCAGCAAGGCATGTAAGATTATACTTAATTATAAGCATGTGTTTCACTTCATTCCCTATTCAGCACCTCATTAAAGCACATGCTTAAGTATAAGCATGTGGGTAAGTGCTTTGCTGAATTGGGGCCTTAGGGCACAGCCTTGTGAATTGCAGAATGCCCTTCACTCCTACTGGCTTCAGTGCCATTGCCCGCTGCTGGAGAACTATAGTGTCCCAGAGACTCTATTGCAGGGGTCGGCAACGTTTGTCACGCGGCTCGCCAGGGTAAGCCCCCTGGTGGGCCGGGCCAGTTTATTTACCTGCTGACGCGGCAGGTTCGGCCGATCGCGGCCCCCACTGGCCGCGGTTCGCCGTCCCGGGCCAATGGGGGCGGCGAGAAGTGGCGCGGGCGAGCGATGTGCTGGCTGCGGCTTCCTGCCGCCCCCATTGGCCCGGGACGGCGAACCGCGGCCAGTGGGGGCCGCGATCGGCCGAACCTGCCGCGTCAGCAGGTAAATAGACTGTCCCGGCCCGCCAGGGTGCTTACCCTGGCGAGCCGCGTGACAAACGTTGCCGACCCCTGCTCTATTGTAACCCTCAGCTGGTCTCTACAGATTTCTGTTGGTTTCAGACACAGGAACATATAAGTAGGCCTGGGATTTATTGAGAGCGAGGCACCTTGCAGGATCAGGCCATTAGAATGTTGAAGACTGGGAGACTCTCAGCCACTGACATTAAAGTCATGGCCTGATGGTTCTTTTTCCAGCAGTATTTTGTCCTTATAATGCGGGTTAGATGAGATAGATGGTGGTTGCAGTTCCCACAGCTGTAGCCAGAGTAAGGCCCTCCCTGACCATGGTGGGAATCCCAGGAGGCAGCACCAGTGGGGGAGATTGCAATGTTAAAAGGAATAATTAGGGCTATACACCAGGGTGGCAGTAGGTTCCCTCTTTTTGTAGTCAATATTTTGTATTGACACTGGGGTTACTATACAATGAGCTTACTAAACCCAGTAGCGTTAACTAGTTTCCATGGGCTTCTTGGGGTAAGGCATATATTTAATTATGGTGTTAGATGACACGGACTTATCTCTATTGGACTTTGGTATTTATGCAGCAGGTAATATCTCAGCTGTTGACAAATGCTCTCCCACAGCGTAATTGTAAACAAAACGATGACCTTTTTTATGCCTTTGCCAGAAAGAGATGGTAGCCTGGTGTATTATCTTGGTTCACATGGTTTTAATACCACATTGTAGTTTGCTTTGAGGCAGGTAAAGTGGGAATTATTGATTTGATCTCTTAGTGCAAACTATTGGCCTGATCTTGTAACCCCTACTCATTGAGTAGGGTCTACTGGTGTGAGTAATGACTGCTAACATCTCTTTTCTTGTGTCCTAAAAATCAACAATCTGAGATTTAGCCAGTCATGTGGGGGAGTTGACTTCAAAGCCAGGGTTCCCCACCAAGGGTGCCCTGGGAAGAGACAGCAGGGGCACCCGCTGATAGCAGCTGCCACAGGGAGATATGTTGGTGAAGGCTTCCCTGAGACAGGACAGTGATCATTTGCAAGTGCCAAGGACAGAAATTTACTATTGATACAGCTCGTATTTTATTACATTCTTAACAAGTGACATATTATTCTGTGGAGATTTAGGACAGATATTCCTTGAATTATTTAGCACAGCAGGGTCTTGCTTTCCCATTGTTCTTGCACACTTTGATGGAACTCTAGACCCTACAGGATACAAATGATTGTGACCTTTGAACTAAGGGCTAAATCGTCTGCTGGTGTAAATCAGCGTCGCTCCATTGACTTCACTGACTTACACTGAGGGATTGAATTGACTGATTGACACCAGCCTTAGATCTTTAAGCTTTTTTGAAAGCTTTGTGTTAGGCGATGTTTCTGCCAGCTTCTTGCATGGTTTGGTTTTGTTGATATACAGCGTAGAGTTGTCCCTGCATGTCCCCATTCAGCCATTGGCTTAACCTGTCAACGGCATTTAATTCTTAGTAAACATAACTGACGGTTACTCTGGACCCAGATATAAAAGATGTATTTATAGTGGTACGTGGAGGGGTGCTGCTGTAGCTAAGATTGAGTTGTCATTATTATTATTATTATTTATTATTTATTATAATGTGTAAATATTTGTGTTATTATTTATTACCCAATATGGACAAGATTTATTATTACTTTTCTTATGCTTGGTGCTGCACAAGACTCAAAATAAAGAGAGTCCTTTAATAATAATGTAAAGACAGTTTTACCACTGGAATGTGATGGGAATGTTGTGTTTATTTCCTCAGTACAATGTGTAGTGTAGCTTTTCACTAGGTGCAGCTGTGGGCTGGTGGAGTACCTCTAGGCTTAAGCATTAAAAGACATGGGTTCTAATCTTGGCTCTTTCATGACAGGATTATCTGGACATCAGTTTTGTCAATACTTTCAGCCTTGGCAGCTGAAGTCTAAGTATGGATTTAGGTGTAACTTTAGGCACCCATGTTTGAAAATTTTAGCCCTAAATTCTTATTTTGTCCCCTAAAAAGTTGTCCGATTTCGGAGGTGCTGAGCCAAGGGAGCGACAGTGTTCAGCCCTGCTGAAAATCAAGCCCCTCTTATTTAGATGCATAAATAGGTGTTTGAGAGTCTAACTTTAGGCTCCCGAGTTTCAAAATACTGGTCTGAACTGCTGTGTGCCTCTGTTTCCCTGTCTCAAAGGGGGGATAATAATGCTTACCCACCTTAGTAAAGCACTTTGGGATCTACAAATGAAAAGTGCTAGATAAGTGTTATGTTTTGTTTCAGTGTCAGTCCAAATTCACTCCTACGCCACACAAACCTGATGCTCTTCTCAGTGTCAGCTATTGGCTTCAGAAATGCCAGATAATGGAACTGAGACTGGACTGACGTGAAGTTAACCGCAGGTCATTTCTAGCTTCTTAATCTTGCTCTACTAGTTTTTTTCGGTTTATTATTTTTGGTCTTTTGTGGTTTAAAGTGGACTTTGAGTTCTCATCAGCAGGAGATTGACAGCCCTGGCGCCTGGAGATCTCTGAGTATCTACAGAGCAGAGGCAGCACAGACAGCAGTAGTGTTAGCTTCCCTCATGCCTCCCCACTCCCATGCCTCCTCCCTCTACCAAGGGATCACTGGAGAGGATGAGAAGGGAGTTCATTCACCATGGCCCATTCACTCTTTGGCCTTCCAGCTGAGGGTCCAGCAAGGAGGGGGCGGGGGGGAACAGTTGTGATGGTGGGTCTTGTGACACAGATGACAAAAAAGCTGTGGTCAGTTTCTTCTGCAGATAACTCTTATCTTGTGTCTCATTTAAGGTCATACGACATCAGGGTCAAGATGCTCCAAAATTCCAAATACAAAATCCAACTGGTCAAGACAGAAGGAGAAGAAGCCCTCTGAGGTTGGTTGCTTTTCTTGTTTCTAATCAGCCCGTGCTTCGGTAATTTTAGTGCTTGTCCAGGTGTAATGGAAACCAGCATAGCCAAGGCTGACAGTAGGCAGAGGTGCTAGAGCCATCTGTCCCTCTAAGAAGCACCATACCTGTGTCAGAATGCACTCAGCAACAGAGGCGCACTTGTGCTCTTCCACCTCCCCATTGGCCCTCTAGAGGTGTCACTCTCCATGGATCTCTCCCTGCGCATGTCTATTGAGAATCTTTCATAATGGCATGGAATTATGGGGTGGGTCGTGGGTAGTCGGGAGGTATCAGGATGGAGAAGAAGCTGGATAGGACCCTGTATATTACTTCCCTCAGGGACTCATAAAAGTAGAGCTGGCCTTGAGTGTATCAGCCAGAAAGCTATCCTGATAATGGCCTGCAAGTATCGCCAGTGCGTCATGAGCCTGCTCTGCTGGGAGAGTCTCCCCCTGATTTCACTGTGAGTGGGATTGGGTTTTATTACAGTTTTTGAATTTGCCTGATGGCTGAGGATTCCCAGTGATGAGCTGCCTGGCCAATTAGCCTGATCCCTTGCAAAAAGAGGCATATCTTGCAGAGGGAGGCATATCCATCAAGTATTTATATTCCTGTCATATAATTAACTGCCCCTGTAGACCGTAGAATTTGATGGAGTAAAGTTTGAATTAATTGGTCACATGGGTCATATATATTAGAAGTCTCTGAGGTCAGAGGGAGGTATCCTCAGTTTAACATGGCGCCTCCTCTCTTCTGGATAATTAGGGTGTACTGGGGACTGTTAAATAGGAGCCAATACAGTATTTAACCCAGAGGGGGAAATAAAGTTTCATTATTTTCCTTTGAGTTCCGCTGCGGGGCAGCCGTGCATTAGGCTGAGGCAGTTGGCATATGGCCTTTTGCAGGGCCAGTCCCTTGCTCTACTAGCAGGGGATAAAAGGCACTGTCCATGTTGTGGCTGAAATGGTGCTAGCTGTAACCCATGCTTCTGGCAGGCTTTCAGCACAGTTTCTCTGAGTTGGTTGGAGAGGAGCTAGTTTTTTTTTTTTCTGAGAGCCATGCTGTGATTGTGTTATAATACCATCCTGTAGCATGGAGTGAAGCTGTGTCATGTTTTGCCTAGCATGGACCTCAGACATAATTCCCATGGGCATGGAAACTATACTAGCAACAGCTGTGTTGTAGCAACAGCGGTGTTTAAAGCTAGTCATTGCTATCTTGGTTTCAGAACTTAAAAGCGGTACCAGTCTCCCTTTCCTTTGGACACAGGTCCAGATCCAGAGTTGAGTCAGAGTCTAGGGGGAGTCTACGTTCGTGTGACTGACACCGTCTTGCAATTTCCCCCTTGTATATGCTACTCCAACTTAGACTCTCTCTAGATTCCTTTAGACCTGCTTAAGCACCATGAGTCTTACAGCCCCCAGCCTTGCACAGCATCTCTAAATTTGACCCAGTATGTGCTTGACCCTCCGTAACGTCCTCAATTTGCATCAGACTGATAGATATTTGGGGGTGGTTCTCAAGGTTCTTCATTCACTCCCCAGACCAGATGCACTGCCCCCTCCTCACTGGGACAGATCTAAACAAATCAGTTGACACAAGTCTCTATAGCCTGAGTGCTTTAGGCCCTGGCTATCTGAGAGACAGGTTGTCTCCCCAAGAATTGCTATGGCTGTTGAGGTCAGTGTAGGGACCCTTCAGATAATCCTAGATTTAAACATCTGGGGGCTGCTGGCAGGGCAGTCTGAGAGGAGGGCTCGTCTCTCTGTGATTCATGTTCCTGACAGTGCCTGAGTTTGTTGATCTTTTAAACCCATTGCAAGACCTGTCTCATCTCACTTAGGCTTTCTTGGCTGGCAGAGCAGGCTGGTAAAATAGGTTTTCTGTTCTGTATATGGCCCTTGAAAGATAGGTGACTGGGGACAAAAAACCCCCCCAAACAAACCAAAAACAAAAAAGAGGAAACTTGCAGCATTGCCTCCTCTGTGGGCACAGTGGCCGCATCCTGTAGAGTAGCTGCTTCTGCCTATGTGTGACACATTTTAAAAGGCATCAGATTAGATATTTGTGAATTTCCAGCTTCTAGAAGGTCTAAGATCCACAGTCAACATTGGAACCCACAACCATAACAATGATTGAAATCACTCATCACAAACCAAAGGGGAAACACTTGGCCTTTTAGCATGACACTGCAAGGCTGGAAAGCTGTATCGTTTTCATGCCACAAGTACCATATTCCACTGCCCTGCCAAATACAGTTCCCTTCTGAAGTGGCACGTGTCAGGAATTCTCCCTTTGCACTAGTAGGAAAGACACATTTATTGTTGCTGCTCTTTAATATAAGTTGAAAAGGCTACATTTAGTGGCCAGCTAGAAAGAATGTGGGTATTCATGCTGAGCAGTAAGGAAAATAAACCAGTTACAAATGAATTAACCGGAAGTGGGCCTGAACCAAAACCCCAGGTTCAAGAACCTCTGAGGAAGTTCAGAGCAGCTGGAATCAAACCCAGCTCTGAGCACCACTGCACTTTGGGAAAATTCAGATCTGGACCCATATCCAACTCTGCAGCTCAGGCTCATGGGTTAATACTGATGTATTGTGGCAGCTTTCATCCCAGAAGATCCCATGCTGCTTCGTGAACTGCCATACACTGGGGTCCGTTCTCAAACCAGGGAAATGTAGTCAGCTCTGGACTGGAGCAAATGTTTAACAGTACTTTGCAGCACTACCCAACTATTCAGACAGAAAGTGAAGGAAGATGTCATATCTAAACTGAAACTGCAGGGGGGATTTTGGGAGGCAGAGTGTAATTACCCAAGTTGGAAGTTGGCCACTTGACACTTTAGCTAACAACCCATCTTTTACAAAAAGTGTCATGGGAACTTTAACAGCCTTTAGTGGTCAAGATCTCAGCTTACATTTCTCATCCAGCATCTCCGGTAGCCCAGTCTACACCCACCTGGGGCACTGATTCTATATGGATTCTGACCCAGCATTAATCTGAATAGCTTGGCAGATCTATCATGATCACAGTGCAGGGTAGTGTTTGTGGAAGTCTGTGTGCTGAATGCTTGTTTCCAGGATTTTAGGCACAGGCTGGGACCAGCCACCGTATGATCTAGTACAGTATGTGCCCTGTGTATGTGAGGGGTTTGGAAATGTAAAAAAATCAACAACCCAAAACCATCTCACACAGTGCACAGAGGTGCTGTATTCTCTAAGACTGCGTTAAATGTAGGAGAGGTTTTCAGGGAAAGGGAAGCACAAAAGGGAGATAGAAAAAGTGTGATGAGGCTAAGTATCAGAGGGGTAGCCGTGTGATGAGGCTGTTACTAAACCTGCAGACCCCCACCCCTGAGCAGTCCAGTCCATTGTGGGGAGGCAGGTGTAGCCATTTCCCAGTCCAATCCCAGATCCAGATTTAGTAAATGGCTCTTACCTTTATAATGAACTGAACCAAAACCTCAGTCACTGACAGCCCTGAACTATGGTGTTTGCAATCTGGCCGTGGATAGTGAGCCCATCTCTTGCTGTTAACCTTTACGGCTTTGGGGGGAACCCCTGCTGTCGGGCAAACTACTGTGAAGAGATCCTGGAAACCAGTGATTTCATGTACCTGGCTAATCTCAAACCTCTTTCAACATCCCTCTGGAAGCTGTGTTCCTGCTTCGCTGTGACTAGGTTGGGGGCTGAGGTGCCATCTGCATTCCCTATGACAACAAAGGCATTAGTGTTGCATAGTTATTAGCTAGGTCAGGGTGATGTTTATTATGAAAGACTCTGTGACAAGGGATTAGCCATACACATCATAAACCCAACGCAAGGCAACTGGAAAAACAAGCTTCTTAGCATGGAAAAGTACTGAGCTGTTTGTAAACATCCGTGGTGCAGGCTATTGCCAGGGAGCACACTCGTATTTATCAGTGCACGTTGCAGAGTCCTGACAGGGCTCTTCTTTGATGTGATACAGACCCTGGGCCTGATTCTCCATCCCCCTGCACCTTGTATAGCCATTTACACAAGGGCAAAGGTAAGAGCCACCCTCCTCTGCAGAGCAGCTCAGCAGCCACTCCCAGTGACCTGAAGTAGCCCTGCACTCTGGTAAGGGTAAGATTGAGCAGATCCATGGGGCAGCCCCTCCCTTGGCCTGCTCATGTCCCTCCCACTGCTTGCTGCTATGTGTGAGCTGCTGTGTAAGCTGGATTTCATGCTGTGGGTGAGCACCCCACCCATATCCAGCCCTTGCACTTAGACAGCAGACATGGGTTCATCTGTCTGCAGAACCTTGCATTCACAGTGTCATTAGCATCCTCTTGCCTTGCTCTATTAAGATTTTTATTACCTTGATTAGAGCTCGGACTTCCTTGAACCCAACACCAGCTTGAGTTAAAGCCAAGTTGTCCTGTCCAGTCCTGAGTATGATTTGTGGGTCCCCAAGCCAGTAGAGGGCCCCCAAAAGCTGGGGCCCACTAGAGAATGTGGAGATTTATCCCTCTGCTCTTGCTGCTGCAGGAACTGGGTGTGCAGGGGATGCCTATTGAATGTAGTAGAAAGTTCTCTCTCACTCTGGAGTGGGAGCTGAAATGGGCCTGGACCGCTTGTCTTCAAGCAGCTGCATTTGCTATCTGTGCATGAAGCCTTAGTCCGTGTTGCCTTCAGCTGATGGGTCTGTGGGCCGTTGTGAGGTGGGTTTAGTTACTGGGAATGCCATACTGTAAGAGAGGCTTCTACGAAATCTACCCAGCCAAGCAAGAATGGTCATATTTGCTGAGCCTCGTTAAGAACTGCAGAGGCCTCACTGAGAAGTTTGTAAATTGAATCCAACGTCTTTGTCAATCTTCCCAAACCAGTGTGGTTACAACAAATTAATGCCATTGTCTTTTGATTTGCTGAGAAGGGCGAAACAAAGATGCCTCCTGTTCCCACTTTAATTTCTGTTGTTCACTGAACCACTGGCATCCAACAGTTTGAAAAGAAATGAGGA